CACAAGGGAGGAACAGAGGCCCACACAGATGGTGCCCTGTGCTCTCCTGCCACCTGGTCGCGCGCGTAGCACTGGAGAGGTGCCCCAACCACACTCATCATCGGCGATGACATTCATGACGACGATCATGGCAATGCCGATGTGCGTTACAGCATCGCCAGTGGGATTACCGGTGTGTGGGGAGCTCGTGGAGTGCCGGTGGGGTTTTCAAACCTCAACGACAATTTCCAAGGCTCTGCAGCTATCACTTACACACGCCACGCGGTCATTATACAGTACGTGACACCGGAACTGCCACTAGAGGAATGGAAGGGGAAAAAAGGCACAGGATGACTGGAGAAGACCGATGGTTGATTATTGATGAGGACCGAGCCTGAGTGTGCCGCTGAGCGTTATCGTTCAATTGTGACAAATGTGTCATTGGAGCTCGTTTTACGGGTGTGTGCCCACGTGCGTGTGTGGGGGTGTGTGTGGGGGTCTGTGTGGGTGGGTGGGGGTGTGTGGGGGGGGGTGTGGGTGGGTGTGTGGGTGGGTGGGGATGTGTGTGTGTGGGTGTGTGCGTGTGTGTGTGTGTGTGGGGGGGATGTGTGTGGGTGGGGGTGTGTGTGTGGGTGTGTGTGTGTGGGTGTGTGTGTGCGTGTGTGTGTAGGGGGTGTGTGTGGGTGTGTGTGCGGGTGTGTGTGTGCGTGTGTGTGTGGGTTTGTGTGTGCGTGTGTGTGCGTGTGTGTGTGTGCGTGTGTGCGTGTGTGTGGGTGTGTGTGTGCGTGTGTGTGTGCGTGTGTGTGTGCGTGTGTGTGTGCGCGTGTGTGTGTGCGTGTGTGTGTGTGCGTGTGTGTGTGTGTGTGCGTGTGTGTGGGTGTGTGTGTGCGTGTGTGTGTGCGTGTGCGTGTGGGGAGCGGTGGCGTAGTGGTCGGCGCGCTGGGCTGCGAACCTGGCGTCCCCAGTTCGATTCCCGCTCACGACCGACAATAGTGAATAATATCGTAACCGATCCTAGACGTCCCCTAGGTAACCTCAGACTAAAATGAATACCTGGTGTGGTGTGTAAATGATCAACATTGGGGAGACAAAGGTGACCAGGCGTGGTGCTTGCTGGCCACATCACCCCCTCGCTGTGCCTGCCTAAATAGCTGTTCGCAAACAGCACTTGCTCCAACAGTCTGTCAAGGCTATACGGTGGATCTTTGTCTTTGTGTGTTTATAGCTTTTTTTCATGTATCTATTGCATTGGACCCTAACCTACGCGATGGCTATCACATATTAAGTTCAGATTTGTCGCTCTACAGACCACGGCGGAATGGTAATTGCGGGAGTGGGAAATCACCACAGGCTGCGATATATATGTGTTTGTGTGTACATGTATATCGATTATCTGAACCGACCTTGGGCCTCCCCTCGGTCGACTCAGACTCAGATGAGTACCTGGTGTGGTGTCTAAACATAACTAAGAGGGAGACAAAGGCGGCCGGGCGTGGTTATGGCCAACCTCCTCGTCGTGTGCCGTGCCAAACTTCACTCGTCCACTTACACACTCGCCCACTTACACACTCGCCCACTTACACACTCGCTCACTTACACACTCGCTCACTTATACACTCGTCCACTTACACACTCGTCCACGTGCACACTCGTCCATGTGCACACTCGCTCACTTACACACTCGCTCACTTACACACTCGCTCACTTACACACTCGCTCACTTACACACTCGCTCACTTACACACTCGTCCACGTGCACACTCGTCCACGTGAACACTCGTCCACTTACACACTCGCTCACTTACACACTCGCTCACTTACACACTCGCCCACTTACACACTCGTACACGGCTGCAGCAACGCATTACCCAGTGCATTCCGCTATCCCCTTTTAAAACAATTGCAACCGCCAATCGGCCAAAAAAGAACCCATTAGCAGGCATCTGGGGACCCAACTTTTAAAAGTGTGGGGCAGCCCTGATCAGTATGGTCGTTGGCTCGGGCTAGGAATAGGACCAGGACAAGTGGCTGGTCGGATGGGGTTAGGGATCGGGCTCGAGTTGAATCGGCTCACACAATCTCCCTGTCGCGGCGCGTTGGCCTCTTCGCATTCCTCCGCACGCGTCGTTTCTGCCGTCATGCGTAAGCGGCGTGTGTGTCGGCCATCAGCAATAGTAACAAATCGATGGGTCGTTTGGGATTAATTGTGATGTATGCGACAGTGCTCAGAGTGCGAACGATGGGTCACGTTGCGGTTAAACGTGCGGATCTGTTGAATTCGGGACGCAGAGGTCGTTTGCTCTGGCAATCTTCCGACGAACCCACCTCGAGACCGGCTGACTGGGGTCCCAGTTTTGTGGGTGCTCGTCACGATGCTCCAATTTGCTCCCACGTGCAAGGCTGACGCGAGACGGGAATTCAGCAAATAGGGCACTCAACCAAATCTTTTCCTGTCGATATTAGGAAGCCACTGGAGCCACTCACCTTTAAATGATGCACATTGAAAACTAATTTATTTTGGAACCGCGTTGTGCGTGTTCGTTTGTTGTTCTTCCCCACACCTCCGATGAGCACGGTTGGCTACGTACGGTGCAAAAGAAGTTCAACACACATACATCTGTGTGGACTCTTGAGTGTGTACTATTGTCTCCAGGTACTCTGGTTTCCTATGCTCAGCAACTGCGTTGAAATAATGCAGCCGTAATGATTGCGCAATGATAATGATGATGTGTGCACTTCAGCAGCCTGTTCAGACCGTTCACAGATTCACAGCAGATCTGCCCAGTTAATTCAATTGTCCCGTTCATTCACTTTCCCTGTCCATTCACTTCCCCCGTTCATTCACTTTCCCCGTCCATTCACTTTCCCCGTCCATTCACTTGCACCATTCATTCACCGCACATTGTTTTAAGTGTGGGGCAGGTCACAAAAAGGTCAGGTCACGGTTGCGCTGACAACTGGCGTGGGGTGAGAACCCGCGTGCGGTTAGTGAGCGGCGGTCTCAGTGATCCGTGAGCTCCTGTCTGGACGCGCGCTCACTCGAGTCGAGTTGTAAAAGTTGTCTTCAACTGGGATCACTACAAGCCCGAGGTCGCCACTGCATTCTCTGCCCCGCGCCACCGCTTGCAAATTAATATCGGTTGTAATTAACGTGTTAGTTGTAATGAACGTGTTGATTAACACCGAGCGGCGCCTTTTTATTTCCAAAACACGTTCAGGCCTGCGAGCGGACATTGAGAGGAGGGGACGAGCGGTTTCCCACTCCGACGTCACGCGCAAAGACTTTGGTAGAACGAGCAGTGGAGACGGGGGTGCTGATGTTTTTGTGAGTGGCATTAGTTGCCCCCACATCTTATATATAATTATATTCATACTTGTATTTTTGCAGTGCCAAATTGTGGCTACGTTTGCCTCCAAGTGAAAAAAAGTCAGCCGTTTACCGTCTAACAGTTTCACGCCTGGATATCTGCACGGCAGACGTATTTCACAACGCCACGGCGATTTGCTCCAAAAACTACAACGAAATGGGGACATTCTCCAGCAAGTAAACTGGTTTCTGAGTATTTATTTGTCTCACTTAGTAAAAACATTGTCGTTCTAAAGGACAGCGAATGGATCCGCTTGCCGCTGAAACACCTGGTTGCCTGTACATTTACCCCGTGTGTGTGTGTGTGTTTGTCTGTGTGTATGGGGAGTTCGATTCCCGCTCAAGGCCAACACCAGTGACGATTATCTCAACCGGTCCTGGGCCTCCCCTATGTCGACTCAGCCTCAAAATGAGTACCCGGTGCGGTGTGTAAATATCGCCACTGGGGAGACAAAGGCGGTCGGGCGTGGTGCTAGCCACCCTCGTGTGCTGTGCCGGCTTTCATAGGAGCTCGCTAACAGCACTTGCCCCATCAGTTTGTTAAGGTTATACGGGGGATATTTGTCTTTGTGTATACAGCGAGTTGAAGGGCCTCTCTCATCTTTGCAGGTGTAGGGCACTTTGGGCACTCGCTCCAAATATTCCAATTCACGGCTTTCCTGAAAAAGAGTCTGAAGACTGAGTGAGGCCTTCGGGGGGAAATAAATGGCATTATTATTATTATCATCATCATTATCCACTGTGGCTATAATCCTCCATGTTTTTACGCTATTACCTCTTAAACTTTTCAAAGCCACCTTGGCAGTCACGCTCAACCTTCTCGCTCCACCTGCTCTCAAGGTGTTCCTTTTGGAACGATCCCTGGACATCTGTCCCAAGGAGCTCTGCAGCTCATCAGATTCCTCCAGTACAAATAGTCTGATTCTGTCTGCCAACAGTCACCGGATTGCATACATCTGGCTGCCATCCCTTTGCTGATGCATCTCGAAATCGACTTAGAACAATGACAGTTACTCAAAGTACAACAACAAAACAATACTTTGTTGTACACCTGCGAATCCGTTCTTGTTTGTGGAGCTTACACGAGCGTGGTTCGTCATGGAGTTCATCCCTAGTCCCTGCAGGCCAGATCCAACCACAGACCTGTGGTGCTGACGATGAGCTATGAAAGGACTGCGAACTTTGACCTCGGTAATAAGTGCCCGAAAGTGTTAACCTTGCTTATCTTAGGATGTTTAGAGGTTTGTAAACTCTCTTTACATTCATCTCAATTTTTGTTGTTGAACTTTGCTCCGTGTGCGTCAACTGCTGTGCCGGCCTTAATAGTTGCTCGCTAACAGTACTTGCCCCAACAGCATGTTGAGGCTATACATGTGACCTCTATCTTTTTCGTGTATGTTTCAGAAATATGTGTGACTATAAGGACTATGTAAAAGTGCGTGTGTTTGTCTGGAATCTTTGGAGGGAACTTGAACAGTGACATGTCATTGGCATCTCCTTATGGTTCATGAGCTCAGCGCTAACGAACGGAGCCCTCGTGTCTCTGCGTGTGCGCTTTGTCCGAAACACTCCGCACGCACCGATCCTGGCGCACACACGCACGTCTCCACGCACGCGCCCGTGCACGCGCCGACACCCACGCACGCACACGCAGGCACGTTCTACCGCAAGTCGTGCGCGTCGTCGGCCGCGTGCCTCATCGCCTCGGCGGGCTACCAGACGTTCTGCGTGCCGGGCCGCATGGGCTCCGTGTGCATCAGCTGCTGCGGCACGGCGCTCTGCAACGGGCCCAGGCCGGCGCGCCGCCGCAACTCGGCCTGGCGCTCGGCCCCCCCGCCCGGCGCCGTCGCGGTGCTGCTCCTGCAGCTGCTGCTGCTGCAGGAGCAGCTGCAGCTGCTGCCCGTCCTGCTGCCGCTGCTGCCGTCGCCGCCGCTGCCGCGCCTCTAGCAGGGACGCACGCGGCTCGTGGACGCGCGCGGATCGCGAAGCGCACGTGGTCACGCTCTCTTCGGGTACATGACGATCTCTGTTGTGCCACGGTGTGTGTGTGTGTTGTGTGGCAAAAGTTGGCACAGTAGGGGGTACAGCTGGTGCATCTACCGGTCGTCTCAGTCTGTCAACCTATGGCACCTGGGTTTGTCTCGTGACCTCCTGTCAGGCGAGCCTTCGACACTTCACGTGGCCTCAAAGTGCACCTGGCCTGGCACAGGCGTTGTGGTGACGTCACCGCCGTGGCGGCTGTTGTTGTGCGTTAGTGGGTACGTGGGTGCGTGGGAGCGGTAGTGCAGTGGTGAGCGCTCTGCGCTACAAACCTGGCGACCCGAGTTCGATTACCGCTCATGGCCACCACCGATGACGATTATCTCAACTGGTACTGGGCCTCCCCTATGTCGACTCAGACTTAAATGATTACTGTACCTTGTACGGCTTGTAAGCATCAGCACTGGGCAGACAGAGGCACCCAGGCGTGGTGCTGGCCACCCACCCCCTCGTGTGCCGTGCCGGCCGTCATGGGTGCTCGCTCACAGCACTTGCCCCTAAAGTCTGTTAAAGGCTTTGGATCCTTGGTTTGGGAAACCAACTGACGTTTATTGGTTTAAGCGGGTGAGAACCCAACAGACTAGGATAGTCTCTTTTGCAAGAGTGACCTGAGCCATTGTGTGTTCGGTAATTTACGCAATGTGGCAAAAATCCGATACAAACGGGGCATCCGTCGGCATGAGGAATTGGGCCCCGATTATTTGTCTCTCTCAGTAAAAGTGTACAGGCGGTGCAACTGCACCGGCTTTCACGAGCCAGAGATTCTACGAGGAGAGGGGAAATGGGACAGGAGGGCCCCCGGTTAATTTCCTACAGCAGTGCCAGCCACGTTACGGCACTTGGTAATACATCGTCGTTCTAAAGGACAGTGAATGTGCCTGCGTGTCTGTAACGCACTTGCTTGTGCACGCGTTGACTCCCTGTGTGTGTGCGCATGTGTGTGTGTGAGTCTAGGGGAGCGGTGGCCAAATGGTTCCTTGGACTGTGCTTCGCACCTGGTGATCAGAGTTCGATCTTCGGCCACGGCTCACGTCAGTGGCAAGTGAAGGAAGAACCTGCCCTAGGTCAACTCAGCTTGACAGAATTGCCTGGTGAAGCGTGCATACAACGGCACTAGGAAGACAAAGGTGGCTGGGCATTGTCCTGGCCACACCACCCCACCGCGCGCTGTGTTGGCCTTAATAGGTGCTCGCTAACAGCACTTCCCCCAATGGGATCTTTGTGTGTGTGTATGCATTGTACAACTCTAAAATGCTGGTGCCAGTTTTGTTCATGTTGTCAAATGTGGCCTCCAAACAATATTTCAGATCATGAATTTCCCTGTCCCCTCTTTGTTCTGAAGGACGGCCACAAACTGAAATGTTAGCCTGAGCATATTATATATTTTTGTCTTATGAGGCAGACGGTGGTGAGATATTTTTGATTTGTGTGTACATATATATACCCATATGCATTTAGGCCACTGTGCTGAGGTCGTGAGTCCCAGGACTCAATTCCTGTCTATTCACAACGAGTTTTGAACTGAACTTGGCGTCGACCCCCCCCCTAGATCAACTCAGCCTAAAATCAGTACCTGGTGCGACGTTTGAAAAACATAGATGTCAGGACAGGGGAGGTAGAGGTGGCCGGACAATGTGTGATATCAGCCTCACCACCCCATGGTGTGGCTCGCCTCAATGGTCGCTCAGGCCTATCGGTCTACAAGGGTCAACGCCTCTGTCCTAGGTAAAATGTAAATGCACGTGGCATGTATGTAGCAACATTGCACATACACGCACACGTGTGCACGGTTGCAGAGGCGCTTCTCTGCCATGTAAAGTTAACCGGCAATAGGCAGCTGCATATATAGCGGCTGCCAATAGGTTCGCTATTAAACATTCTGCCATACTCCAATATACACCACAGTTAAACGGTGATATATAAATACAATTATACTTTTAAAACCTATCTACAAATACTAACATACATACAGGGAATGCTGAGGATACTATGGTAAAATAGGGTAAGTAACTTGGAAGTATGGGATAGAGTATGGAAGGAAGGTGCGGTAGATGTCATTGGGAAGTGGAGGTTGCGATGGGTGGGACACGGCTTGCGTACGGGTGGAAGAGGGGGGGGGGCAGGTTACGGAGGCAGGCATTGGAGTGACGCCCGCAGGTGGCCGATCACGGGGAAGCCCTGCAGCCCGACGGTGTTGACGGTGTAGTAAGCTGTGTCGACTGCGCAAGAAGGCAAGTTCGTGCGTGCGGGTGACGGTGATGAGACGGCGAACTTCAAGGTTGGGTGTCAACTCTGCAACAACCGCAGGATCGATCAGAAATGGGAAGCGATGGCCTGATGCGGTGGCATCAACGACACTGATGACCTCTTGACCTTGGACAGACTTGACCACTTGCTCTGCTCGGTATTATTATTATGAGAAGTAAATATATTTAGAGATGTATTTACTTGTATATTTTTGAACTGTGGAAACCTCGTGGGTGACGCATGACTACATCTGCTTAGGATTCGCCGGTTCGAATCCAGCCCATAGCTCCGTCAAATGGCAAAACAGAGAAGCTAACGAAAATTGAAAGGGCCCTACCTGGCCACGATTGGAGGGGACAAAAAAAATCTTCATTGGTGAAGCAGTATCCAACCAAACTCTATCCCCACCCCTAACCTTACACTAGCCCTGGCACTAGCCCATTGGTAATCCTAACACTCACCCAACCCCTGGCACGTCATTCTTCCCCTTTTGTTCGCAATCCCATCGGAGCGGACCTCGAAAGTGACGCTATGTGTGTGTAATCGCTGTGCATTGTCCACTGAGGGATTTTGGCAGGCGATAGACTCGTAGACAATCTTGTGTTGCGCTCACGGATGATCCTTCTGTAGCAATCTGCGGCAAGACAATGCGTGTCATGTGAATGCTAATATTAATGTTTTTCACTCTGTGGGCACTTTTTAAGCGGCTGGCGCCGTCATCCCACCATCAACATTGGCTCGCCAACGGCATTCATAGTGGCCGCTCAATTAATGGTCAAATAGCCACGCATATGAGATGACGTCGCTCCTGGCATACTCACACACCGACCCACGCGCTCGACTGACTCTCGCCTCAATCAAGATCGAGGAATTCCGATCGCCGTCAGGGTCGGAGGGGGGGGGGGGAGAAGGAACCAGCAGCCACTGGAAGAGCCCGGTGCCACGTGACCCACGTGAAGAACGCAACGCCACAGCACTTCGCAGGAGAGGCCATGCGGTCGCAAGCGCCGTCATTCCGGATTTCCGAAATTCGGTAGCTACGCGCGCTCCCACCATTCGGTGCTGAGTGTCGGAGACAATTGGGTTGGTTTTGGTGCAATATGAAAAACAACAATCCCTAGGTTTGCATCGGGCTTCATGTATGTGCAGGACACACCTGCATGCACAGCCTGGGTGTCGTGTTGCCCACTCACAACGCGGAAAGACATTTCGCCATTCTGCTTCGACGGCGTTCCCTCCAGCGTCCGTAGTCACAACGCGCGGCCCGCGAGAGCAGCGTCCGCGTGTCGCGGTGTGAACGGCGACTCGGTGGCCTGGCACTGATTCATTTTTTGTTTGCGGGGATGACCAAAGCACGCCACCCGCCCACTGTGAAGCAGACGTTAAAGAACCGATGATGGCATCATTCACAAACGTAGACCATCATGTGCCTGTGCCGTTGTCCAAATGGAAATTATATTTATAAATTGCAGAGCTTGCAATTACAATATTTCAATAACTGCCTCTGAGTGACTGCAGTAGCCAAGATTTTGTTTTTGTAACAGAGGTATTGTCGGGTTGGTTTCGCATGGTTAACCAACGGTGATGATGATGTTGGTGGTGGTGATTCCCGCAAAAGCTGAAGGATATTGATTTGTATTTTACCGAGGGACACCGATCCGATATCTCGCACACCCCCACTGCCACGTCTCCACTGCCACCGGCAAACAGAGCCGTGCCCACCGTGTTAAGGGGAGTCAATGCGTCACGCTGCAATGGAGCCACGCGATTAGACCCAGCAAGGCCACGGGTGGACCGAGCCCACTTGCACCAATTCCGCGAAAATCGGCCTCGCTCTGCCCCGGTGGTCATGGGGACGTGGTATCAGATTTCAAAGAACAGACCAGGAGGAGCATTTGTGTGAGAGGGCACTTGATGTGTGGTTGAACCTGGCACCAATCCACGCTTCACTTAGCTTCATGGTTCATGGTCAAACCTGTCCGGGACAGAGCTATAGCAAGACAATACTAATGATAATAATACCTGTATACGTCTCTGTGTGTGGTGGATGAGAGTGCAGAGTTTTGGCCCTTTGAAGTGCAATGCCTGCCTCGCGGCCAAACTTCATCGTTTAATTTTTGACGGTGAGGCCGCTGCGGGCAACACCACCACCACCCAGACCAACGTTTGCCTACGACTCGCCAACACTCGAGCATTGAATGGAAAAAATAAACCCCCTCCACCACTACCCCCACCACCTTCACGATGCTTTGTCTGTGTGTGATTTTTATTTGCACACCCACCGCGCCATTAACACCGCACCGTCAAGTAAAGACGCAATCACATGGCCGGAAACCAAGCGGCTCTCATCACGACGACGTTACACGCCTTCGGCTGAGCGCCGGATTCATTTGTCGAGGTGGAAACTTTTCAACTGTTTTCAGGCCCATCGGCTGAGAATGGTACCCTTTTATATGTTTTGTTTAGGAGAGTATCAGATTCTCGTCGATGCATTAAGCGATTGAATTCCCCACTTACCTAGGGCAATTATTGAATTCAAAACTCTTAAACAAAATGATGGCATAACGAGGCGAACAAGAGGAGCTCGCATTGCCAGCTGCCTCGCTTGCGCGGAAAAACTCGCGACGAGTAATGAAAGGCGCGCAGAGGAGCACGCTCGGATTCACACCGACAAGCGCACTAGCACACAGCGCAGCACGCGGAGCTAGGAATAAACACACAGCGGAGACACGGTGCCGACTCTGGGGGACAGCATGTGGACCCCGGCGGGACACGTCATGGCCGCAAGGAACGGTGGCCAACGGACGAGACTGGTGATGGAATGGCAGCCCAAAGTGGGGAACGTGGGTCCCCAGGAGGGGACGGTCGGCTGTGGACGCGCAGCGATGAGATCGGCTCGAGCGGAGGGACGAGATGGATTCGTGACAGCGCAAGACCGCATCGGGGTGGTAGCAGCGAGTGGAGGCCGTGATCCATCAGTGGTTTGACAACAGCTGATGATTACCTCTTGTGCCCCTCTATAATTCATGAGCCCAGCTCCTACCTTCATTTCTATGATCCTATCTCCAACAATTAAGAGCTTCTGCCTCCAAAATGTATGGGCTAGAGTCTCCGACATTTCGTAAGCACATCTCTACCGATCCCATAGAGTGATATTCCTCTGGTTGTGGCGATGGTGGTGGGGGTGGGGGATGCTATTATCCGTGTTTATCCATGGAAATAACGCCCGGTATTCCCGCAGCTATCCACGGATAAATGAAAATTTGGGATGACTGCGTTGTCCCTTCCAGGTTGCTTATCTTATCTGCAGAAAGCCGCAGATAAAAGGAGGAATCTGGCACTTTAAGTTAGCTCATCCGCGAGATGAGCGCGTAAAATAGAAGATTAGCATTTTTTTCCGCAGATCAATTTGTGGAGGAGGAGGAGGAGGGGGGGGCGCTGATAAGAAGGAAGCAGAAGCTTCCACAGCGGAGCGGTTGGTCCTCACTCAGAGCTCACAACGCGGAGGTTGCCGACTCCATCTGCCCGCACGGCAGCAGTTGAGGCGACGGAGCAGGTCCCTGAAACCCCCTCCCCCCCGCCTCGGGCCCAGCTGGTGGATCGGCAGGTCACGTGTGGTGGGGTAAAGTGTGGGCACCCACGCCTCTTCCAAGATGTCTGGCCTGCGTGGAAGAATAGGCCAAGAAACGCTGCATCGAGAGAGGCTCTCTGGAGCTCCCTCGAGTGGAGGCCCTTCCGCCTGCAGTGGTGTGAGCAGGACATAGCAGGACTGCGCCTTTACCTGTAAGGGAGCACAGCAGGGGCTTGGCTACGAGGAGTGTCCCCAGTAGCTCGATTACTCACGAGAGGCGATGTTCTACAGGTGGAGGCAATTTCGGATCATTTTCATTGCAATGGTTTCACCTTCGTGGCCACTCTTGAGACCTCCCGTTCCTCGTCTTGGATTGGTCAACGGGCTGATGTTTTTTACTGTCACCTGCATTTGCCCCACGCAATCACAAAAATTGCCAAAAATGACACCAATCTTGTAAATTGTGCGAACAAAATTGACGAAGAAAATGACAAATGTTCCGACGGGCTGCGTGTGGCGGTGTACTGGGTTCGCACGCAAAAAAAAACGCTTAATAAAAATATTCGAGATCGATCCGCTAAAAGGTGTCGCTGCTAAACAAAATAGAATTGTTTTTACTTTGACGGGGGGCTGCCACAAATATGCATCAAGCACACGTTCCAAAAAAAACGCGCAATGGAAACGTGAGAAAAAAATATTGAAATGTGGTCCGAGCCTCTTCCAATAACCCTACCTCAAAAGTCCTTTTGAAGTCCCTTCGAATAATACACGTGCATTATATTTATAGATTTCTGCCTGCCAAACCTCCAGGAAGGGAAATCATTTTTGTGGCTCCTTATCGCTGCCAAAAATGCGTTGTATCACACCTGTGCATGCCGAGACAGACCCTTTCAGGAGCTGCACAGGTGCGCGAAATGAATTGCGGAGCCAGCGATGTATTAAAAGGGGAGTTATACCCCGAATCCCACGGCCCCTGCTCGTATGATAGATAGGTTTGGCCTTTAATGCGGCTCAATGGAGCAGTGGGCACTGAAGAATAAAATAAATAAATGGGGGCTTTCTAAAAGAACACTTGCACTTGAGGGCATACAAAACGTTGACCTTGTAATTGCAAAATTCAGTATGATGCGCATGTGTGTATATATATTACAGGAAATATATTTGTCTATGCAACTCGTTTGTACACGTGAGTGTTGCCGTCTTCATCCGTGAGGGATATGTGCACTGCCCAGTGCACGCACTTGTACAGCACTATAGTATGGGGTGTGCATCTAGATGCTACATAAATAGAAATGACATTTTATTAAGTTACAGGGGAAGCCCCACTTGTGTCCTCCCTACCACCAATATTCTCTGCGTCTTTGTCTGTCTATGTGCGTGTCTCTCTCTCTCTCTACGTACTCACTCGCACACACCGTTGCATTCCTGTTATCCGCATTGACACGGGACGTGCTACCTAGCGATCCTAATACATGGCATTTGTCCGTGCATTTCGCTCCCCTTATCTGTGTAATTAGCAGGGATAAGAGGATGGATGTGCCGCCACTTCTGGCGGTGAGCGATGCTGATGGATGATTGACCTGCGGGAGACAGCTGCTGGGTCGGTCCGGTTGTTCGAGTGACTTTGTTGTGCCACTTCTAGGCCACTCCGATATTATCTGCACAAACGTGTGGACATTGGGAATGGATTTGTAGATTGGTTCAAGGGTGTGGATGTTAGGACCAGTGGGTAACGGGGGCAGAGAAGTGTCACTGTGTGCGTCTCTGTGTTCTCACATCACTGTTGGTGTCTCTCTCTGGCTCTGCCTCTGTTTCTCGATGCGTCCTCTCTGTGTGTCTGTCTCTCTCTGGATGTCTCTTCCTCTGTATCTGTGGCTCTCTTCATGCCCCCTGTCGGTCTCTTTCAGTGTCTCTGTGTCTCTATGTCTGTCTCTACGCGTGTTTATGTCTGTGTGTGCGCCTTTCTCTCTCTCCAAGTCTGTCTCGTGTTTGTATTCTTCTGTGTGTGTGTCTCTGTGTCTGTCTCCATGCCTCTGTAGAATCTGTCTCACAGTTTATCCCAGGACACGCGTCCCCTGGCTTTCACGAGACGACTCTGTCGGCCACCGTTCCCGTGTGCGCCCCTTGAGCCACGGACCTGCCCTCAACGTCCCCTAACCCACGTCCAAACGACACCGCAGCTCGCCGTAGGCTTTTGGCAACCAGCGATTTACTTGGCTGTGACTATCAAAGCATCTCAACTCTCCCAGTCACGATCGTTCATGAATACAGGCGCTCATGGCCGAGGGCGGCAGTGTCTAATGCCATTTCTAATGATGTTATCGGAGGGCTAAGAAGCTCAATTTCGGCACAGACAGAGGCGAGTCCATGCTCATGAAAGGAGAAGCCCGGAGATTGATTGGTTGGTTGATTGATTGGTTGATTGATTGATTGATTGGTTTCACACATCGGGCATGGCCGTTCCTAACGTTTAACTTGATTTCAGTCTCATGCTAATCGTTTTACCATATGTACATAATAATAACAAATGCACGATATAGCATACACTGAAAATAACATGTATATTCATAATCACATTATCCATAATAGCGGATGTCAATAATACATATACAAATAATACCATGTACCCATCATAATATATACCCATAAACTGATATCCACAATAAATCAACAAAAGAAAACGTGCCTCCCATGGAGTGAGAGAGTAAGAAGACACGCAACAGGAAGCAGAGATGTAATCACTGGCGCGAGGTGGACGCTTGTGCACCGCGTGACAAGTCAATGGCTGTGTCGGGTGGAGGAGGGTCTTGACGACACGAATTCAGCCAGATCATGATGTGGCCTAACCCAACAACAAAAAGCAACTATGGAACATTCACACAATGTACATATTCAGTAAAAGTGCATGTATTGTTTTTTTTATTCAGATTTGTTTACAATAAAAGTGCTGTACTCTTTCACTAGATTTGATTCCTCAGTGTTTAGCTTTGTTTTTAACTGCTGGAGTAGAAGTCCTCGGCAAGTTCAGAAGTCCGATTGGAACAACTCAGATGAGACGGAGGTTTAGATAGATATATGTGAATGTATACAGGGGAAACTGCCAAGGAGGTGCGGAATGATTCAAGTGTCACGCGATGACAACTTCTGTCTGTCGCGAGGGGGGCGCGTGGGAAAGTGTTGCCCCCGAGTGTGGATAAGAGGTCGCTTGGAGAGCTTCTAAGAAGCGGTTCTGCGTGGTCTCCTTCCGCGGGGCGTTCTCCGACACGGGGGCGGGGGGCAGTGGGGGGGGGGGGGTGCGACCGCTGTCGTGTAGCGAGAGTTCCCAAGCGAATGATTCATCCACGTGGCGTGACACGGATCGTGACACCCGTGGCGTGACACGGATCGTGACACGGATCGTGACACCCGTGGCGTGACACGGATCGTGACACGGATCGTGACACCCGTGGTGTGACACGGATCGTGACACCCGTGGTGTGACACCCGTGGCGTGACACCCGTGGCGTGACACCGATCGCTCAATCGGCGTCACATCGGAGGGCCGCGGCAAGAAAAGACTCAGCAAAGTTTTCCTGGCCTGATAAAATCTGAAGAAAGTCGCTCACATGGTGGGGGGGGGGGGGTCACCAGAGCTCAACTACGGCACACAGCAGACTCTACCAAACTCTATACGTCGTGGCACCAATGTCGGCGTGTATGTCTAACTTCTTTCGCACCCCACGTAGGCAACAGT